GCTTTCTTCAATACCCTGAAAACTGAAGTGAAAACAAACTCTAAACAATGCTGCTGTTTTTATTTTCTCCACAACAATGGAACCTATACTGTAGCTGTGTTTGAAGTCCTGTATGTATCTCTTACATTTTGTTCCCGTAACTAATGAGCATGCTCTTGAAAAGCGCACTTTCATATTCTAGCATATACAATTTGCATAGCACTGTAGCATGTTATGCTATACCTAATTTTAATGACCTGACATAATAATAAACAATGACTGGGATTTGGTGGCTAGTGTAATGTGTAGTCTGATTTACCAGTTCATGTTGATGTTGCTACACTGTTTTTTATCTGTAATGCACACTTACGAGCTTAGTGAAGACTGATTCACACATCATTCTTTGTGATTAGTCTTCTTAATTGAAATCAAAAAGAGGCATGAATGCAGCATGCTAAAGAGCATTTTATTCTGATTCAAACCCCTGGAGTTACTCTTTTGCATATGATTGGAGTGTCATGGTCTGTCAGCATGGTTTAATGTATTTTAATGAACTGCAGCACATGTTGATGAAGCTGAAAGGGCTGTTCTTTTAAAACGGCTGTCAACCATCACAGCACAACCCTATCCCCAGTCAGAAGTGTTCCATGTAAATGCCAACTGGTTTAAACATATTGCTGATTAATTGGCGGTTACTAAGTTGTCAGGGGGTTGCACCCACATTTTCCCAAAAGGTTGCATTCTCTTTTGGCTCATTGTAAGGCCACCAGTACAATAATAATATAATAATACCATGTCTTGGCCCAACATGGCCACTTTGGGTTAGTTGGCCAAAGATGGGGTCACCACATCCCTGTGAAGTATTACGGCCCATCCACACAGCGGCGTTCGTTGAAGCTTGCCGGCGGGCGTGTCTGAAACTCGACCAACAACCAATCACATGAATCTCCCGCCCCTGACACACAAGCAGCGGTTTGATTGGCTAGAGCTTGTACTGGCATATGATTCGATTGGCTGACGCTTCTGCCGAGGCTTCAAAAGTTGAACATTGCTCAACTTTTGCAGCGAGCCACGCCAGCAAAGCTCTGCTTCGCTTCCCACAATGCAGTTCGGCGAAAAGTGACGTCACCCCATTCAAAGTGAATGGTGAAGCTTTCAACGCACGCCGCTCTGTGTTACAATTCTGATATTAGCCTAACATGACAGTATGCTCCCAATGTGTGCAGCATAAAGCGACCCTTTGTAAATACTTATTTAAAATGTGTATATTTGTGCCATTTTATTGACATTTAAAGTGAGTGGGACCAGGTGAAGGATGGATGAGGAAGAAATGAAACGAGCATGGACAGCCTGAGAAAATACAATGATTCAGTAAGCAGGCCTGTGAACATTATTCAGACTTTATTGCAGTACAAGACTTTTAGTATGAGGGTGTATACGACAGCCCGTCACTATCACAGCTGATTTAAACCAACTGGAGTTTCATTGATCTAAACACAACTGTCAAGTTATACCCTCCACTGAAGATATCTCAATAGTTAGCTTTGGCAGAACATTAGATTGTCATTGAAACCATTGCAACCAATTGTAAATGGCACTCTAACTGATAACAAGTGCAGACAGCTCCGATCTGTTTTCTCTTGTGTTATTAACTCTCCCCAGCTGAATGAGCATGGCAGTGCGTAATGGTGGTTGACTGATCGCTATCACCCTCACTAAATTACACAGAAAAACCCATACGTCCGTAATTGAAAAGCATAAAAAACACACATAGTCTGATGTGTGGGAGAACTAAATGAGGTGTGTCTAAATGTTTAAAATATAACTGAAATTATACTGTACATTTAGGCTGTACGAATGTGAGCAGGTTGAGTGGGTGAACCAAGGGAGGGATATGTGCATTCAAACTCACCACTGGCACCATTTTCTGCAACATTAACACATTAAAGATACATAACAATAATGCTATCATAAAAGTAAGCAACACAGGGAGATAATTGGAGAGGAAAACCAGCATGAAGAGTCTGAGAAAAGAGAATTATTAGTTATGAAGCCTGAAATAGGTGATTATTAAAAAAGGCAGTAAATATGAAAGCAAACGTTGTGGAGTGCTCGATTAGAAGGATAATTATACCCTCTTTAGAAACCATGCTTAATTAACAAAGGTTAAAAAGGAACGGAGCCATGAGAGATGAGACCAATATTATGTTTAAAATAGCACACTACTTGATCTGCAATATGTCCCTCATATTGGCTCTGAAAATCAATATACAATTATTTCTGAAGGGGTGTTCGTTATTCTTTTTAATTTTTTGAAGTTTAACCTCAACTCCTATCATATTCTTTATAACAAATGGTGTATTAAATATATTCAGACACTTAGACCCCTCAGCCACAAGTGCATGTAATGATACAATGTATTATTCAATCAATATTTTAATCTTGATCACTGGTTTCAAATGTGTAGTTTTTAACTTGAGTCAAGTTGAATTTCAACTTGACTCAATGGGACTGAGTCAAGTTGAAATATATTATTCAATCAATACTTCATTCTTGATCAATGGTTTCATGGTAATGTTAACTTGTTTCCACTCAAAAGAGTAGAAATATCAATCCTAATGTTATGGTAACACTGGTTGAGAAATGTGTATCACAAATGTAAATCAACATTACCCTTTCACTCACTTCCGGCTTCTTTCTTTTCAGGATTGTTTAAGGATCTCAAATAAAATATTTTAATCAACAGTAAATGTAATGCAAGCCCCACATTTTTGCTCTCAACATTAGTGTCACAGAATGGGAGCTCATGTCTCATGAAGGAGGTTCAAGTGATACAAATAATGACAAGCCTGAGATATCGCTAGCAAATTACTTTATATTGTTTGTCTAGTATGACGTATACACATGGGTCAAATTAGGGATGATGGAGTGAGTAAAGAGGGAACACGTAGTATAATAGTATTATTGAGGGAACATCAGCTGAATAATGTGGTGTATGATTGCGATGAGGATGGGGAGATATACTGGGGGAATAATCAAGAGTAATGGAGAGAGCTATTGTTTTTTCAAAGAAAAAGTTTGAGATGGAAAAAACTGAAACACTGAAGTGTCTTTGTGTATGTACCTTACAGTTTGTCATTGTGTCTTTCTATTTTTCTCATTGCTTAAGAACAGAAAACATGCAAGTTCAAAGTACAGAGCATCATTTTGTTTAAGGAGTGTCATAACATTACATATGGAAGATAATAAACAGGTAAATCTAAGAGAAAAAAAGCATATATAAAAACCTGTTGTCGTCTGATGCGGAAGTACTTGGCCATCCATGGATACAAATGTTCTGCTGGGGGTTTTAAGTACCAAGAGAGGATAAGAAAAGAGGGGTGTACTTTACACAGGCCTCCCACTGATGACAAATTCAATGCTATTGATTAGCCTGGTAGTCAAGCTGGGCAGGCTAATCTACTGCTGCCCAATGGTACACACACATATCACACCATGGGTTTTGAGTCGTGTCTTCAGGGTTAGAAAGTAGAAATGGATCCATATTTACCTTTCTTTTATAAATCTGACAGGTAGAATGTGATGGTCCTTGAAGACTCTTGCCACACTGTTAAAGCATATGGCATAAATACTAACTAAACTACAACTTCAATGTAAGCACACAACCAAAGCAGGGTTTTGGTGCAGAAAACCCTTTTTAATCAGGTCCTTGAATACACACCATGACAATTCTTTAACATAAGATAGTGAAGTACTTTTTATTTTAAGTTTTGAATCATGGTGGATGATTGTGCTACGATACAGTGGTTCAAGGCCAGGTGAGGAACTATGGAAAAAGAGTGTGAGAAGACACGGTTCTGTTCTACCACATCATGTCATCCCAGATACAGGTCAACATCTATTGCAATTGTAAATGTGACTTGTCTGGGGAAACTTGTGCCACACCTGTTAGACAGACAGGTGTTTTTGGAAACCGGTATTGAGTGAGGAAAGGATGGCCCCGGGGGGATTAATGTGGTGTAAACTGGAAAGAGAGAAATCAGTCTGACAATGTTTGATAGAACTGTGTTAAATGTTGTGTGAGTCCCCCGAGTCCTAGAGTGTCATCATGCCAGCACTGTTAAGAAGAACTGCATTCATGAGACTAAAGCACATGAGACTAAAGCACTAGTCCACAATACTTAGACCTTTGATGTGGATAGGATCACAAATGCATGAAGCTATTTTGGATTAGCCATGTAATAATGTTGTATCTATACACCTCTTTTTTGAATATCCACATTTATATTACATCTTGCCAAAAATCACACAAGCACTGATCACGAAAAGATCTTCAGTTTTAAAAGATTTCAGTAAACTATGCAACCGCACAATGATAAATCCCATTATGAGCCCACATCATTGTGTAATATAGCTAGCTTCTAAGCCTTGGTACTTGTCATTTTGCTTTATTGTGACTTTATTGTAGCATTGTTCTCAATAGAAGTTTGACTTTGAAATATCGTATTTACTGTGAGTCAACTATGTAAGCCTAGAAACACATTCTGCCCATGGTTTTGGTTTATTTAGTTTCTTTGTTTGGTAAAAGTAAACTGTGATTATATGTTCAGGGCACAGCCACAGATATTAATTATGTCAATACGGTTCAGCGTGAAAAGACAAACTATGTGAAAATAATGGCAAGACCACACCCAGGTTTTTCCATTACTCATCTTTTTTTTTCTTGCAGTAAACTTGGCCTAGTAGTAACAAGAGCACTTAGAACTGTATGTTAAGGACAGTTTTAGACCAGCTCACATTACTTATTTAATGTCCTTGTATCGAGACTGAATTGAAGATGCTATAGAGCTCTGCCAGCTGTGGGTCACTTCAGCCACAGGGCTATGGAAAAGCTAGGATTGCTGCGGTAAGCAGACTAGCCAAATGACCAAGCTACTGCAGTTTCTCAGCAGGCCAGAGACGTGCTGCCAGATGTCTTTGTATCTGTATCAACTCATTGCTTATTTCCTTCTGTCTTCCAGTTGCCCTGCTCCCAGTGGAGGATAATGGAACGGCTGTGGTTCTCTTTGCTGTTGCTGGCAGCAGCATGCAGGGGACAGCCGTGTCCGAAACGCTGTATGTGCCAGAGCCTTTCTCCATCGCTCGCTATCCTCTGCTCCAAGACAGGCCTGCTGTTTGTTCCTGCTGCTATTGACCGGCGCACCGTGGAGCTACGGCTCCAAGAAAACTTTATTACAGGTAACGTACCTTCCAGTCCATCCTGTACTCCATTTTACCATCAATCAACGCAGTGTATTAAGACACTTTGCATGATCCTGTCTGTTCCTTATCTTCATCGACTGCAATGATTTCTTCAAGGGTGAACCTGCTGCAATAATATTAAGCGACAGCAGGTGTTATGTATTGACAGGTTAAAGATACCTCTAATATTCAAAGGTCACATTGGATGCAGTGAGCAGAGTATGTCACACGATTGAAAGCCCCCAAGCTAAAGTTACACATTTCTTTGTGGTATTACTTTTGAAAATGTGTACTTTTGAATACATTTCAGCCAAGCAAATCTCATTCATGATTAGTCTTCTCTTGATGAGAAATACTTTTATTGTATACATTGAACCATATGTAATTTTGAAGGACTCAGTGTTGCTTTATCCTTTTATTTTACCAAGACAGCTACATAATATTCTGAAGCTTGATTTGAAAGAAATGTTCTTCCATGGTTTGCCAAAACTGAAGACACACAGGCTAAAAATAAAGACTGCTTTCACAGGTTCCAAAAGGAGATAATTTGATGCACTGTTAACAGTATCGCACAGCCGCATAGTTATACAAGTCACATCCAAATCAATTTCAGTTTAGCAAAACAAAACATTCAGTATCTTATTTTGGGGGATACCAGATAATCTGGGTGTCACAGGGTTCAGGATTTGAACTCTTGAGCTGAGTAGGCATGACTTTATCAATTTAGATATAATCTCTATAAACAGATATCTGCATATGCAGAATAAGTAAGGAAGAGGATGATATTCTAGTATCAAGTGTTTTCCTTTTTGTAGTCTGAGTAGCATTTACATGTTAGCAGGCTTTGGTTGCGAGAAAGAAGAAACACACATACCAAAATGCAATCTCGGATCCAATGGGCTATACTCGCATAATCACTTTGGTTTTTTTAATCTCTGTAAACAGATATCCAGATAAACAATTTGGCCATAGACATTGTCTCTCAACTTCAACTCCATTCTTGGGTTTCAAGTTGCTAATCAGAATGTGGATATAGGAAGAGGATGTCTGGGCGAAGATATCCATATATTTTGATTTCATAATACTGTATGTAATCTGGCCACTTGGGATGCAGTTGATGGAGCGTCTCTTTGTGTTCATTTTGTTTACTCCCAGCTGTCCGAAGAAAGGACTTTGCCAACATGACCAGCCTGCTACATCTGACCCTGTCGAGAAACACCATCAGTCAGATCCTCCCTTCAGCTTTCAGTGACTTGCGACGACTGAGAGCACTCCATCTAGACTCTAACAGATTAACTGTTATCAAGGTGAGACTAATGGATAGATAACTTAATTGATTGATGATATTAATAATCAGATGTATAATTCACTGTTGATTAAAGGTAGGGTAGGTACGTTTGAGAAACCGGCTCGAGATCGCTAGAATTTGAAAATACACAACCGGAGAAAATCTGCCTCTTCCTTACAGAGCCCCTCCTCCAACACACACGAACGCGCACATGACCAATGAGGGCACGAGATAAGTTTGTGCCCCGATGGAAGGCTGACAGGCAGGTAGGCCATCCAGTTATTTTAGCCGGGCCGGCTAAAATGATTGGTCGTGCTTTTTACAGTACTACGGCTTCCACAGATGACATTTTTTAATGGATCTTTTGTCAAAGCACTTAAGATATTCATTGCTATCGGGATGTTAAGAGCATTCCATGGAATATAACAAAAAGTGTATCTCGAGCCGGTTTCTCAAACTTACCTACCCTACCTTTAAATAGGAAATAACTTTAAATAACTAAAGATGGGTGGTTAAAACATTCCCTGAACAATAGAGTATAGATATGTAATGCTCTTACTCTGATGCCTTTCAAAGCAGTTTTGCTTTTTCACAAACCAGGATGACCATTTCAAAGGCCTGACCAACCTCCGTCACCTGATCCTCGCCAGCAACCAGATTCACTCCATATCTGCTCATGCCTTTGATGACTTCCTGTCCACACTGGAGGATCTCGACCTCAGCTACAATAATCTTGCCGAGACACCTTGGGACATGATCGGGCGCCTCACCAATGTCAATACCCTAAATATGGATCACAACCTCATAGAACATGTTCCCCAAGGTGTATTCACAAACCTACACAAGCTAGCCAGGTAAATAATTAAAGGAGCAAATGATAACGAATGTATAAATGCAAAGGATGTTTTACTGATCAACTGGATCAATTGCTGTTGATCTAGGGATAAAGAACAAGTTCCCTTCTTTCTTCCGCTCTCTTTTATCCTATTCTCATCTTCTCCCTATTCGGTCCTTTCACAGGCTAGACATGACATCCAACAAGCTGAAGAAAATTCCCCCGGACCCTTTGTTCCTGAGAATTCCAGTTTATGCTAAGTCCAAAGGCTCCCCCCTCACCTCCCTGGTGTTAAGTTTTGGTGGCAACCCCCTTCACTGTAACTGTGAACTTCTGTGGTTGAGAAGACTGACCAGAGAAGACGACCTTGAGACATGCGCTTCTCCCCCTGACCTCAGTGCCAAGTACTTCTGGACCATTCCTGAAGAGGTGCAGTTTTAACTTTAAGAAAACTAATACAAATATTGAAAACATCTTGAAACTAACATATATTACTAATTTAAATAATAGTCATTTAAATAATCAAAACGTTCTTTTTGCCGTAGGAGTTTATTTGTGACCCACCAGTTTTGACCCGTAAGTCGCCACATACAGTGTCTATGGAAGGCCAACATGCAAGTTTAAAGTGCAAAGCGAATGGTGATCCAGAGCCTGAAGTTCACTGGATCAGCCCTGAAGGGCGACTCATATCTAATGGCACCAGGTACTAACTTTGTTTCCATACAGTCTTGTTAAATCTGCAATTAATTTATTTTCTCAATAGTTTCTCAAATTTAAAAGGCAAGGTGTTTATTTATGGCATGCGACTTTTCACCTAAGAGCACTTCACCATATTTAATGATGTCAGAAACCTGGCAAACAAGTTGGCAGGGGCAAGAGAGGGGCTCTTCAAATATTTCTCCATGTACCGCTGAGGCTTAGTGTTCTCTGCCAAGGTGCAACCAAGTTAGAAAGTCAGACAGTGTGTCTCACTTCATTTTTGTCTTGGCTGTAGTATTAGGGCGTAGGCACACTACTCGTGTGGGCAAAAGGTGAATCAGGATCAGAAGGTAGTTGTTGAGGTCACAGCTTTCTCACACTTCTATCTGGTAACCTACTTCTTCGCACACATGTCAGAGATGTGCATTTATAGTTATGGTTTTGCATATACAACATCTGTTATTGAAGATTGATAGTATTAAAAAAACATGTGACAGTCCTATAGTTCCTTGCTTGAGCACTCTTTGGTTTTGCGTTTGCATCTTTAAATATTTTGATCGGAAAAGGCCAGTTTACGGAAGTGACGCAATCTTGTATCTTGACAAATATAATTTTTGTTAATTATCATATTCATGTGGAAGAAGCCTACAAGGAGTCAACAACATAGCCCCCCAGCCTGGCAGAAATGACTTTGATTCTGGATAGAGTGTGAATGTATTCTGGATAGAGTGTGAATGGATGCTTGAACAGTGATTAGCCAATGGCTCATGTGTGGGTGACAGAGAAGTTGGTTTACGTGAGTGATAGGAGTTGACCAGACATAATTTGCCTCTAACTGGTATGAGGAGATTAAAAGTGAATGATTGTACAATCAAAGGTGAAAGTTTCTTGCTCCTTTTGTCAGGAATAAAGAGCAAAAGAACCATGCCCATTTTATAATGGTTTGACTATGCCAAAGGCCTGCAGTTTCTACATTAAATGCTTTTTACTTTGTTGGTATATTTACTTTGCTGGTTGTTAAGAAAATATCACCTGTCACCGGCTTGAACTTCAATATCAGGATACATGCATTTATTATCCTTGCAATAATGGAAGTAGTCATCACATACAGAGCTACATGGGACAAAATAGTTCTGAGATCAGTGTCCTTCACATGCTTATATACAAGAGAGGGTGTTATTCAGTCACAAGATACATGTATACCGGTTCAAAGCAGTATTCTGAGCCTTAGTTCAGATTAGCTAAGGCCTGCGTAAGCAATAAACATGACAGTCATATGCCCATCTCCTTACGGGCTGTGTCATCATGTTAATCGTAGGAACATAGCTATCGTATGTAAAACACAGTGTCTCATGAGCGTCATCCATGTAATCATACATCCGGTTACGTACACAGTTACAGTTAGGCCTCTGTTATCATGTGCTACTCTGATATTTAAAGAGTACATTCAGTATTTTCCCAACACTGGTATATTTACATTTTATGTATGTCATATTTAATTATTATTATTAACTTTATGATACATCTCACTTTTTTTCAGAACGTTGGTTTTCCCTAATGGAAGCCTGGAGATTAATGTAACAGTCCTAAAGGATTCAGGTAACTTCACCTGCATTGCCTCAAACGCAGCAGGTGAATCAACGGGCAGGGTGGAGCTTGTTGTGACGGCAGTGCCCCACCTGGCAAACAGCACGAGCCGCAGCCGAGACCCGTCCTCTGAACCGGCCCCGTCTGACATCCTAACCTCCTCTAAGGTTGCCCTGCCTAACAACGAGACACGAGGGGCCGACCGGAGGGTCTCATTGGTGGAACTGACAGGAAACTCTGCCCTCATTAGATGGAGCAGTCAGACACCTGCAACTGGAGTCAGGATGTTCCAGGTCCAGTACAACAGCTCTGGAGATGACACACTTGTTTACAGGTATGTCTATCTACACACTCATTTTAGATCTGTCTATCTGTGTGTGTCTTTCTTTTCTTTTATATTACATCAGCTGTTTTGAATTGTTATTCTTAACAGGAGTATTGGGAAGAACAAATATATATATTTCCCTACATGTGTTTGTTGTGTGAGCATTTGTGTGTGTGTCTGCAGCTGTGTGTAAGTTATTCAGAAGGCATCAGCTGCTGCTATGAGGGTGAGAGCAGATGATGGATGATACAAATGGATATAAGCCAGTCATCCAGTTGTACAAGTCTAATCAACTGTAATGATAAAGACGTCTGTAGTGGAACAGTGCCATTGCAGGGTTCAATGGGCCTTTGCCAAATGTGGGGAGTAGGGCTTTTAAATGCGTGTCTGTCAGTTTCCTTCTGTGCTGCACTGATGGGCTGACCTTGTTGCTGCATTGTTTCATTGCTGATATTTACATCATGACTTTATAAATATGCCATCTTTCCATATTATCCTTGGTTTGACTCGACTTAGACATTTGATGATCTTTGTCATTACTTTGTCAGATTTAACTTAATGCCAACACATTGAACTAATGACCAGTGAACTGCTACAATGTTTCCAGGAATTTAAATGTTTCAATATAGATTAAATGGATAATGTAAAAGATCCCTAAAACAAACAGGTACTTTTTTCTGCCGTGCACAACATGCTACTGCATACAGCATGCAATCATCCCATCTAAACAAATAGGAAGTGAACTATTGGTATCAATAGCATATCAAAAGGATTTTAAGAGCAGTTCAAGGTATATCAATGGCAACAATATTGCCTGAATATCTCGTAAAGCCTAGTGAAGCCATATTTATTTTCAGTTCTGAAGAGTTTTCATATGTTGTGGAGTTGTCATGGCAACAGATTGGGAAAGTATCCCAGATCTTGCTATGAGTGACATCTGGCTTTAATAATACCACACAAGTGCTGCTGACTGTTATAAATATGTCAATGTCTATGACTGTTTTCTGTGATTACAGAAGTCAATCAATCAGCCTTCGCTGCCCTGCAGAATGATCTGAAACCGATTCAGCTCTGCTTGTCCCTTTACTCTTGATCAACCGCTGAAATTGTCTCTTGGGAAAAACCATTTTCGAAAGAAGAACTTGTGATATAATATGTTAAATCCATCCACATTACGTGGGGATTCTGACCCTCTTAATTTGTGAGAAATCTGCATTTGTGTGATCTAGAAATGGTGGTCCTGTCTGAAAAGTGATTATGATGTTATTTCTAAGCTTGAGAGGACACTTGATATTCAGACAGTTCAATGAACTAGGATAGACAAGCCACCTCTTACAATACTAAGCATGGCAACCAATCTCCTGCATAGCAACCTCCCATATGCACCAGCCTATTCAAGGTTGGATGCAATTAGTGAGAACATCTACACTTCCTGTTGATTCTCTGCATTTTTACATCACTAATTGCATATTAATTGTATATTGTGCAACTCCAAACTTAAATGGAATAACACCTGAGGCTCACACCATTCTCAAACACCTTTGTGAAATTAGACACAACAGGCCAGCATTCATTAGATAAACAAAATGATTTATATTTGAAGCATGACTAATATACATTTCCATCCCTATTAGATAGCCCTTTAAAACATAAAGGGATGTTCATGAAAACTATGCATGCATAATCATCCAGCATAATCTTTTCTTATTGATAACAAAAAAGTTTGACAAAAACAAAATCTTATCAGATGTATGAATATACAGTATTAGTGCAGGTTAACCTAGCCATGGACAAATAACGGAGTAGAAGGCATTAAGGATACATTTGTAATGCATTACATCACAGGAAAAAATCAAAGAGTGTCCTTACTTTTTAACCAAAGGGTGGAACGATTGGTTTGTGATAGACACAGTGATGATAACCTCAACATGTCTATTAGATAACATTAAATATGTTTTCTTATTTTATGTATTTACTCAATCATTTCTTGATTTCCCGCCTCCCACTGAGTAAATTATTCGAGACAGAACATCCAGATCATAGCATCCTGTGATCTACACACCGCCCTTGGTCTGATTTTTATTTAACTTTTATCCAAGCAGGCAGCAGAATTTCTACTTCCACTTCAGAAAGATCACCAATCGTCAAGAGAATTCCTGAGGAGCTCAGAGCATAGAGAGGGCTCTCAAAACACAGTCTTAAAACCCCGACTACTTACGATCAATGCCATTAGAGTAGAGAGTTTGTGTGTGATGGTGTGTGTGTCTGCGTGTGTCCATAGACAACCATTGGCCAAGTGCATTAGTTAACCATGTGTCTGAGACATGCTCTACCGGCCCCATGTCTAAGATAATCAATGCCTATTCATGTGTGTGTGTGTGTGTGTGTGTGTGTGTGTGTGTGTGTGTGTGTGTGTGTGTGTGTGTGTGTGTGTGTGTGTGTGTGTGTGTGTGTGTGTGTGTGTGTGTGTGTGTGTGTGTGTGTGTGTGTGTGTGTGTGTGTGTGTGTACACCTGCAATATGTGTGTATTCATGTGCACACTGGAACCAGATAGCAGCTGTGTATTAGCCAAAACCCTTATGTCAGTTTAAGTGCCAACAGACTTCTGCAGGAGTGTCAATATGTTCCTTTTTCCTTCAATGCCTTGACTCAAACATAAACTAAGCTTTTAGATCTACTGGCTGGTGGTGTGTTCAGATGAAATTGTGATTTGTCTGCTCGAAAGCTACTACTTGTCAGCTTTCTTTTGAAATGTGAGCAGCTAAAAACACAGGTAATGAAAAAAGCAATGGACAGTTCATGTTATAACATCCATCCAGGAAAGGTAAAGTTTATTTAGTTTGACCAATAGTTTATTTGTATGTTGTATTATCTAAACATTATACAGTGAAACTAATGAAAAGTAAACTACATTTTGACTACACATTTGACTACGTGGATGAATGAGATAAATATACACGTATTTCCTTGTAAACATGTGGCAAACTTTACAGTATGAGCTTCCTTTTTAAGTGTTGTTTTTCTTTGTTTTCATTTACAACACATTACATGCCTTCATTATTTCCCCACTGAGTTATCTGCATTTCCCAGCGTATCTCATAATGTTCTTCAAATGTGTGTGCTGATTGGTTTATTCCTGGATTTCAAGGAGGTGTCAGTTTTATTTAATGTACTGTGTTTCATAGTTAATGGGCTTTTTCAGGAGGGACAGCACCTTTGCTTTTAGTCTAACTGGGCTGACAGCTTTATAGAAGGAACATAATAATTACCTGATTGCAATAGATTATTCCTTTTTTGATTTTCCCCTTAAGCTACACAAGTAATGGTGATTAAGTAAAGGAAAACTGTCAAACTGGGAGCCAAGAGTGATTGAAAAATACAAAGACCAATACATTTTATTTCATGATTTGTCTTCCAAGTACAGCACTCTAGGTTGCTGTTTAACCTAGTTTCATTCAAATAATGTGTGTGTTTGTGTGAATGTGAGGGGTGAAGAATATCAAAAGTCATGCACAGCAGTACTCTAAACTCCACATCAGTGTGTGACGTGACACAGGTGTCATGCATGTGTGGTGTGGACGTAGTGTGTTTCATCACATATACCAACACCTCAACCTGTGTAACTAAATTAATTGAATCATGTGTAGAGGCAATGTCTGACACTTCGACTAACACTTAGAAAATAGCCCATATCTAGTTATGTGTAGAGGCAGTTGTGAGACTGTTGCTTCTTATGTGGCATATCAGTGCAGCGCTCAGTCAAGCTGATGCTGGCAGGTGCAACATTTCTTTGTAATGTTGTATGTGATAAGGTGTCAATGAGAAATGCAGAAGTTATTTTGAAAGCTGTAAAGTTTTCTTATAAACATGTTTTTTATGACAATTTGAGTACTGAAGCTATATTCATATACAAATTAGACAAAAACAACCACATTCACTTGAAATATTAAAGACAAATTGTTCAACTCTAATTTTGGATTTCTCTCTCTGGATAAATATAGCCTTCCAAGAAAATTGCATCAAAAGGCAATGGTGTTAAGTGTGGAGTCAGGTGTGGCGTCACAGTGCTTTGCACCTGCTGACATTGGCTTGTGTTACTGCATGTTGATTTATTTTGCTGGATGAGCTTTTGGGAGAATTGTACATTCTGAATAAAACAAACTGAGCTGTGATCAGTCAGACGTCTAGAAGGATCAATAGCTTGGATTCCACCCCGGCCTCACCAGGGATAGCACATCATCTAGGGCAAACAAGCCTGGCATTAACTTGGCTTGCACTCTGGGACTGAACAGGTAAGCCCAACCCAGAGATATATTTGCCTAAACTACACTTTTCATTTTTAAATGATTTATCTGTCCTGTCAGAAGGATTCTAGGTGATGTATTGCTGGGTGTCCACATTTGGAAATCATTTTGTCCGCCTTCCATTTCCCATCTCTGCCTATATTATTGACAGCACTCATTCTGTCAGTTTTTGGAAATGACAGCTGTATTTGCTCCTGAGATTGAATCTCAAAATCGGTTGTAATTATTACGCAAAAAAGAAGGGAACTGCGTACAGGCAATGTGTCACCTGTTACAATGGCTATTACAGGCCAACGCACTTTTATATGAATGCTATAGTATAGCAAGTCTCTTTCCCCAGTCTCTCTGAAAAAACCCTCAAGCAAAGAATAAAAAAAACATTATTTTACTTGTCAGAATACATGTCTTCATTGATCCACCAAACCTGTAGGTGTGTTTATTTCTTAATTTGATAGCTTAATTTGTTTAAGCTTTACTTTTCAATTTAAGTGGGGCAACGACCTTCAGATGCGGATATTAGGAGCTAGTGTGCGTACTTCTAACTAGGGCATATCAAAGGTTTGCAGTTTCCAAATCATAATGCAGACTTGACCACCTAATGGATTTGGTCTGGCTCATCATTTTGCAATGTGAGCACAATCTGACTCTGCAGTGGTGCGATATGCCAATCTGAGCATACTGTTTGAGGATTAAAATTGAAGTGGA